TCTCTGCTCTCACTACTCTCCTTTTTATCTCTACTCTCGCTATTCTCATTGCTATCACTACCCTCATTACTTTCACTACTCACCCCACTCTCATTGCTATCGTACTCTCACTAATCTCACTACTCTCCCTTGTCTCTACTCTCACTACTTTCATTGCTATCACTACTTTCACTACTCTCATTGCGCTCACTAATCTCACTAACTCACTACTCTCCTTTCTATCTCTACTACCACTATTCTCATTGCTATCACTACTCTCTCTACTCTCATTCCTCTCACTACTCACACTAATCTCACTACTCTCCTTTCTATCTCTAATCTCACTACTCTCATTGCAATCTCTACTCTCATTACTCACATGGCTATCTCTACTCTCACTACTCTGATTGCTTTCACTATTCTCACTAATCTCATTATTCTTACTAATCTCACTACTCTCCTTTCTATCTCTACTCGCACTACTCTCATTGCTATCTCTACTCTCACTAATCTCACTATTCTCCTTTCTATCTCTACTCTCACTATTCTCATTGCTATCACTACTCTCATTACTCTCATTGCTATCACTACTCTCACTAACCTCACTACTCTCCTTTCTATCTCTACCTCTCACTATCTCATTGCTATCACTACTCTCACTACTCTCATTGCTATCACTACTCTCACTAATCTCACTACTCTCCTTTCTATCTCTACTCTCACTATTCTCATTGCTATCACTACTCTCACTAATCTCACTACTCTCCTTTCTATCTCTACTCTCACTATTCTCATTGCTATCACTATTTTCACTACTCTCATTGCTATCGCTACTCTCACTAATCTCACTACTCTCCTTTCTATCTCTACTCTCACTATTCTCATTGCTATCACTACTCTCACTAATCTCACTACTCTCCTTTCTATCTCTACTCTCACTATTCTCATTGCTATCACTACCTTCACTACTCTCATTGCTATCACTACTCTCACTTATCTCACTACTCTTCTTTCTATCTCTATTCTCACTAATCTCATTGATATCACTACTCTCACTACTCTCATTGCTGTCACTACTCTCACCACTCATAAAGTCACACATTTCATGCAAGTTTTTATAATAAATAGTCATGTTTCTGTTATCACAACTTTACCAAGTATCATCTACACATTCTTTCTCTGCTAGTTTCTAGAATGTCACGGTCTCTGTTCTTGAACATGAGTTTAATCTCTCTGCAATATCAATCCTTTTTTTATAATCACGTTTTCCCAAATAGAGTCTGTCCTGATTAGGTATATAAAAAAATCAGCCTAGTTTGTCTTGTCCTTTAATTCTCAGTACTTCAAAGTTAAATTCTTTTCAAACTAATGCCCAACTTGTGCTTCTGGAACTAGCAAATAAAGCCGTCCTTAGAAATTTGAGAGCTGCCGATTTCACTGTAATGAAGCGGTTCTCAACCTTTGGGCCGCGATCCCTCAAGGGGTCGAACTACCCTTAAGCAGAGGTCGCTTAAGACCATCGAAAAACGCATATTTCTGAAATAGCAACGAAAATAATGTTATGGCTGGCGGTCACCACAACATGAGGAAATGAGGAACTATATTAAAGGGTCGCGGCATTAGGAAGGTTGAGAACCACTGCTGTAATGTTATACTTGCATTTACTAGAGTTTTTTTATTTTATTTTCCCCACATTATTGTTTAACATTCCCTCTCAATTGTTGAGTAGCAAGTCTCTCTCGTATGTTAAGGAGTTTTCCACTTCGTTTACCTCACTGGATGAAGTACATTGTTTCCACTTTGAAGTGGACATGCCCACAGTCCTTTGGTCGAATCACTTCTCTCATTGCCTTCTGAACTTGCACTAATTTCATTGCTGACATACAACAATGGATAAAGTTCATGGTTTCTACTTTGAAGTAGACATGCCTCTAGTCCTTTGGTCGAATCGTCCGTTCCAACGATAAATTTCTCTCGTCTGACAAATCAAAATTGGGCTAATTAGTTGGGTATCCCCTAGAATTCTTTAAAGCCAGTTGGCATTCGTTTGTTCAAGAAATGTTATTAGCTTTACACTTGAATTTTCAGGTCAGTTAGTGATGCTGCATTGGCGTAACTAGAGTGTTTGGCTCCCGGGACAAGATTCATTTTAAAGCGCCTCCCTTTCTTTTTTTCAACTCTCAAACCCATTATTAGCATCAATAAAATAATATCAAAGCACATTTTGGCGCCCCTAACTAGCTGGCGCCCGGGGACATCTGTCCCCCTGCCCCCACCACGCTACGCCTCTGTCTATATGAGATACTCAAGGAGTTTGGCACATCCAACAAACTGACAACACTGACCCATGTAACATTAAACAACCCAAAATGCAAAATCAAGTTTCAAGGAGAATTTTCAAGAGAATTTTGCATTAGACGAGTCCTAAGACAATGAGACTCGCTGTCTTGTATGCTATTTATTGGAGAGGGTTATAAAAAGCATACATATTGACACCCGAGGAACAATAACAGGATACTTTCTGAGGAAGACCCTACAATCTCTACAATCAAACCCTTCAGTATTTTGCATATGCTGATGACATAGCACTTTTAGGGAAAAGTAGTAAAGACATATTAAAAGCTTTTTATTGAATTAGAAGACTCGTCATTACAATTAGGTCTGGAAGTTTACCAAAAAACAAAATACACGACTATATTAAGAGAAGAGTAGAAACCATCAAAATTAGAAACCTGACCTTTGAAAAAAGTAAATCAATTCAAATACCTAGGATCCTTAATAAATGAAAAAATGAATACTAACAGAAATAAAAGAAAGAATATCGACCGGAAACGGTGCGTACTTATTGGTCAGAGAATAATTAAAAGTAAAAACATTGTAAGAAAACCAAAGAAAACAATATACAACAACACTGTGATCAGACCAGTTAGTTGTAATATATGCTAGTGAAACTTTGACCCTACAAAAAAGATCAGAAATCATATCAAACACAGTGGGAGAGAAAAGTTCTCCGGAAAATATATAATATGGACCAACAAAGGATGATATGAATTTAGAATACGAACAAACCGGTCTATGTCAGGATCCCATGCTAGTAGCAGTAATAAAAAAGTGCAGGCTACGGTGGGCTGGACAATTAGAAAGGCTTCCAAATGATAGAGGAGTTAAGAGGGTGCACCATTAAATCCCCAGAGGAAAACGGCTCAAAGAAAGACTTTAGCTTAGGCGGATGGATTATGTGGAAGTTGATCAACAGCAGCTGAGAATCCAAGCATGGAAAATAAAAGCATCAGATATGGTCTGAGTGGAAGAAAGTGCTGAAGCAGGCCAAATCCCTATATGGGATGTAGCGCCACAGGGATGGATGAACTAGACCAGGCGTTTGGGATCCTTGAAGATACGTTTACAGCACCTACAACTGTATTTTTAGATTTCTAATATTTTGCAACTCCGTACAATAAATTTGGATATTTGATCCAGCGCTGTTAGGATTTATCCACTGTAAATAACCGTAGCACAGAATATGCGTTGTTTTGTTGTGTTTTTTTTAAAACTTAAACATCACCTGAAGGAGAAATTTTGAACACACTTGACTTTGAAGAACTCGTTGAAGAACTCACTGAAGTGTATGCCACCAATAAATCAAGGACTGTGATCTTTTTCGCTTGACTTCTTTGTCTACGGAGTACAATCGTGTAATGTCACAATAAATGAGTGGGTTTCTGCCAGTCTTTATCAAAAAAATATTAAGCCATTTCATAGTGGATATAGGGGGGGGGGGGGGTCTAAGGGGAAAATTTTTGAATTTTAACACACATTTTTTTAACAATCGTGTAATGTCACAATAAATGAGTGGGTTTCTGCCAGTCTTTATCAAAAAAATATTAAGCCATTTCATAGTGGATATAGGGGGGGGGGGGGTCTAAGTGGAGAATTTTCGAATTCTAACACACATTTATTTCTTCCGTGGTTCAAGAGTTAGATATTATATCGACCCGGATGTGTGTGTCGCCATCTGTCACGGTTTAACTTAAAGCTGTTACGATGTGCGTCATTACTTTCTGTTGAATTAGCTGCTCGATGATCGTATGAAAATCTATTTTGTTTTTTAAATATATATTTTTTTTAACTCCGCTTTTTTTCGTGTATATCTTTCTTCGTGTGTATCTTTCTTTCTGCGTTTGTGGCAAAATCTTTGGAAGGCTAATTGACCCACTTCCTGTCATTATAACGAGCTGAAACTTGGCACATAGACATCCCAACTCCCAAACATAAGGTTTTCCGGTTTTTCCAGTGAGAAGATAAAGTAAATCTGATGCAACGATTTCTTAAAAACTAGAACCATTGGTAAGTCGCATAAAAATATTATAAAGGATCTATCCAAAAAAAAAAGCAACGTATAATTTTTAAAGGTTGTTTAACTTATTTAACCTGATGTTTTTTCGGAATTTGTTTCTTTGACAACTATAAAAATAACAAAACATTTTCCACAATCCCCTTAACCCCCCCCCCCCCCCAAACCGCAAAAATTATATTTTAATAAACTTTTTGAATGATAATAATTAGATAGTTTAAGTTATTGGTTAATTTAGCACATTTCATACATATGTTGTAAATCTCGTATTCATGTTGAACTCTCATATGCAAGCTGTGATTCTCATCTCCATATTGTAACTCTTATATCCATGTTTTAACTCTCATATCCACTGAGAACTCTCTCATCTAAGTTGCTGCTCTCATATCCATGTTGTAACTCTCATATCCATGTTGTAACTCTCATATCCATGTTGTATTCTTTCTATGTTGTAAGTATCAAATCCATATTGTAACTCTTATACCTATTTTTTAACTCTCATATCCATGTGTTAAATGTCATATCCATGTTGTGACTCTTATATCCATGTTGCAACTCTTATATCCATGTTGTATTCTTTCAATGTTGTAAATATTATTTTAAGTTGTAATTCTCCTCTAAAAGTATTTGTCCTATTTTTTTTATTTTCAATGAAAATTGCATATTTGTTTATTGGGATTCTAAGACAAGAAACAATTTATTCAAAATAACACAGGTACAGAAGAGCAAAAAATGAATGTTAGCAATTAGTCACATATTTATTGTGCATTTCATGTGTCTAAAAATATGTTCATCCCAATCCGTTCATTTAAGTCACAAGGTAAAATTTGTAGTATGTGCCACAACCCCTCTCTAGCATAAAATGTTATGTGACCCATCAACATGTCTGTCCTGTAAATTTACATATAAGATATGATGACATATTCAGGATTTATGACAAGATCATACTCTGTCCAACAGTGCAAACATGTCATTTATGTGGGTTTTTTTCAATGAAAAGACAAAAGTTTCAAAATGTTTCAATATTCCAATTGATACTTTAAAATGGGTTTATATTATAAGGTAGTATCCATTGACAATGAAAATAAGAAACTTTGCATCGGATCCATACATGTTGTGTGATCACACAATGGTGCTCTGTAGTGTAAAGTGTGAGCAATTAATTTAAAATAAACTAGTAAATCTTCTGAGGGTAGGGTTCAATGTATATCACCAACGTTTTCATTACAACAGCCACTTAAATTTTATTTTACACTGTTAGAATTATATATGTATATGTATATATATATATATATCTCATTGATAGACAAACTATGGCCTTTGAGGTTAAAACAACAATGAACAATACATAGATGAACATAACATTGCACTGGTTTCACTTAACTGACCCAAACTGTTGAATTCATCAGACTGCAATAAGGTAAGATAGAAATATCATGCCTTCCGGTACTTAAAAACAAGCTGAGTTTGAGGTTATGAAGGAGGTCTATTAAGAAACAAGCTGAGTTTGAGATTATGAAGGAGGTCTGGTATCTTTAAGACTCTGGTGTTTCTAAAAAGTGGGTTCAAGGTGTGAGCTATGAGAAAATACTCTCTTGAAAAAAAAAACACTGTTAATTGTATTTTCCAATGTGACCACAAAATCAAGATTAAATGTAAACATCTTCAATCAAATGAGTTAATATTCATAGATTCCTTAAAATAAAATACCAGTCATTCAGATGATTCCCTTCAAGGAAACGACCAAATAAAAAGAACTTTCAGGTCTTAAAATAAAAAGAGATTCACTATTTCTACTTCATAAAACCCAATGCAGAAAATTATTAAAATTGAGAAATAATATCATAATATAAGGTTTGTTCCAATGAAGGATTGCTCCAAAAGCAATGGGTGTCCTAAGTAGGCCTTTTCTACACATAGGAAAGCAAAAATCACCCAGGAACCAAAACCCTTTTAAAAAGTCTACAGAGATAAAAAAAAAAATTGGAACTACTGGTTGGTTGCTAGATTCATCTTCCATGTGAGAATCAACTGACAGGAACAGTGCTTACTCACATGTTTACTACATTGATTTGATGTCAATTTAATGCAATTAATAAAAATAAGACTTTTAAGCCAACTGGGGGGGATATAGAATTTAAAAATTAGAGGGGGGGGGGGGTTAAAAAATTCATAAATCAAAATTTAAAGGACAAGAAATGAAATGATAAAAACAAAAAGGGAAAAAAGGCAGTTGATAATTTTTCTCTTCAATGCAGAATTATGCTGATGCTTCAACAAAGGGTAACTTACAGCAGTCTATATAATGTAAAAGATGGTAGAAGGGAGCCACACAAAGCCAGTCATTGATTGAAGTTATAAACAGTGGCTTTTAAGGTCTCTTCTTGTAAACCTGATTTTTCTGTACACGATTTTTTTTAAAGTATATTTAACGATGATTATAGTTATAGAATATTAACAAAACAAAAAGTTGCTATTAAAGCATGCAGCAGTAAGTCAGAGTAAGTAGACCTTCGAAAATTAGACTTGGAGAGAGAGCAGCGTATAAAAACATTAGTTAAAATGTGCCAAAATTTGCATAATCTTTTTCTTTTTTTTAAAAATTAGTTAAGCAGTATTGAAACTGAAAGCATCTCACCTGTTTAGTACATTGTTAAGTCTCTCTATTTTAGCATTTAAGAAAAGTGTTGTTCCATTGTGTGGAGTTATGTGAGAGATTTTGTGTTTTAAATTTAGAGAACATGTAAACACAACCACACAAAAAACCCACATGACTGTATAACATTTGCATACAAATTTAAAACGCACAGCCCTTTCCGTACCAACATGGATTTTTATATTTTTAAAAACTGAAATAAGGTTTAACTGTATAATAACATTTTTGATTCAATTCATCAATAGAAACATTCTCATCTAGTTTGGGTTCCCAATCTTTTAATTAAAATTTTTTTTTTTTTTTAAGCTACAATGATTTATTCAGATGTATAGAGAAAGACCACTGGCAAATAATTGGTTTGAATTTTCGGAACTCAAACTGATCTCCCTAGAATGGATGGAGTGTATGGGCTTGTTGTCATCTTAACATGTGTGTCAGGGCAAAAAAAAAAACAACCTTTCCCCAAACTCAATGTACTTTTAAATTAAAAATTAATGTTTTTCTTTTAATGATGCTGCCGGCTGGCCACTAATAAACGATTACTGCCAGTTATTAATAAGTAGTATTTTTTGGTATACATGCAATCTTAGACCACATATTTACATTAAAATGCAAAATTCATGGCATAAAAAAAATAATTTGTTGATTAATTGACCCCAAAAATTTTAAAAAATTGTTTGTGTATAAAAAATAATTCATGTCATTTAAAGATAAAATCATAAAAGTTGGACTGACAGTGACACAAAAATTTAAAAGGAGTCAATGTATCACCACAAAGCAGTCAAAATGCATAAACATCAATTTAAACAGATACAACAAAGGAGTTTTATCTAAACTCAAAGTAATCACTACATGGTCCTAAATAGCTCATTTAATGATTTACCAAAAAGCATACATAAATCTCAAATTTGTGCCTCTTCAACCCGCATGTTTCTAATATACAGAAAGAATGAGTAAAAAAAATTTTTTGCACTTTTCATAATTACACGATATCTGACTTAAATTCATGAATTTATTTACGAGCATGCACATTTTTATGAATGCAATTATAAAAAAACAGGCAAAATTATTTAATGTGAAGCTCTTCTTATTGGAGTATAAGGGAAAAAAACGACAGTTAAAAGAAACTGAACAAAAATATACAAGTGTTGTTAGGATCTTGGCACTGAATGCTTTCCTCTTGTTAACTATGATAAAAAGATATATCTTAAAGCATATATTACATGGGTGCTATGAACTACTGGTTTGCAACAGTAAAGTACTTATTTCAACATAATGTTTACAACTACCATTGAAGTTAAATCTACTGGGCCCATTGGTATATAGCAGAGTACCAAATGTGGTCATATATTTGTAAATACAGTAGCAGTGGCCAAAAACTGGAAACAAGATAAAGAAAAAATACAGTGTAAATCTGTAGACAGCAGTTGAAAATTAATTATTACAGGCATAAATGGCAACTGGGAAAATAGGTATTGGATTGGGAAGGTGCTAGTGTTGATTATAATGTTCAAATTATAAATCTGTAACAAATTGCGGGTTTAGATTTCATCAAAATTGTTAAAAATCATAATTTACTTCCCACCATGACAGATGCTTTTAAAAAAAGAACATAACATGTACCAATAACATTTTCAACAACTAAATTACTAAAGCACCACTAGACTCTTCTCTACCAAACCTTGGTGTAATGCAACAAGATCACAAGTATCTAGAAATCACATGGAGAAAAAAAGCTGAAAAATGTTGGTCTTTTTTCAAATTTAAACATCATTCTTCAAATAGAGAACAAACTGAATTTGTATTACATATAGTTGCTTTGATGTTTTGAGCTTAACAATTATGGAATTTTATGCTATGTAATAGGAGCACATACATCAGTAAGATAGAAAATTTAACAAATTATGACTTTGAATTTTCCCACTGGTTTCATCTGAAGCCTGCTTGTCAATCCTAATAATTTTGATCATTGATGGCCCTCATGGCGAGACCAACATACACCCCAATTATAATGGCCACTAAAACAAAGGCGATGATGCCGATGACTACACTGATTGTAACCATACTTTTGGCTGACCTGGCGTGGGCCGTAGCAGCAGGAATGTCTCCACGAGCCAACGCACTCCGAGCCTAGAGGAAATAAGACAAACAAAGTGTTGTTAATTAAACAGTTATTTAAAAAATTGAATACACACAAAAGTAATATTAAAACCAAAAAGATTTGAAAAAAAACAAATGTAACAATTAAGACAAAGCTATGTGTACATAAAATGTACATAAAGTAAAGGACATTTCAATTATTTATAAAAGCCCTCTGAGCGAGGATCAACTAGACTGAAAAATCAAAAAAAAATTATTGTCAATGTTTACAGTTGACCCTCTCAGTCGTAGTATGGCTTCCAGCACCTACGTCCCAGTTAAGTTACAGGCTAATCACGCTGCTAAACAACGCACCACTTTCAAATTTGCCTTGTGCAATTAACTCTTCTTATTAAGCAGTTCCAAAGAGCCTATTTATAAACAAGAAGTGTTAAGCTATTTTTTGTGACTGAGCGCTTGATTTTAAGCTATTTTTGAATTTGTTTTTAAATAGTGGTTTGCCCCACTTAGAATTGATTCAAGCTGCATGCGTTTCGGCTTAATCGACAGAGATGAATTTCATCCAGAAATAGATGCAGAAATAAAAGTGATGTTGATATTGAATTAGTTCAACATGTTGATGTCCCAGATATGAGCCAGAAGATGAAGCGGGGTCTATGTTGACATTTTTACATAAATGGGATGTTAGGAATTCATCAGCTACCAAAATAAAAACACTATTGGTCGAGTAATGAGCTTTGAGGTGTTCCTTCATAAACAATAGTGCAAATAACAAATAACATAAAGAAATAATTTTAAAAAGGGATGACAACTGTATTATTTGAATGGGATTTTTCTTCAATTATTTTTTCTTCTTATTCTATACCATATTAATAAATAAAAGTTTGTATTTATTTTTTTTTTAATTTCATCTTTTCTCAATGATCATCTGCTTTTTTTTTTTTAATTGATTTTTTTTTTTTTGACTTGGTGAAAGAATGATGTATAATTTTTGTAAAGCCAGAAACTTAGGAAAGAAATGGAGTTATTCCCCCTTGCTTGGGAATTATATTTTTTCTTATTATTCTATTACATATTAATAAATAAAAGTTTTTATTTATTTTTTTTTTAATTTCATCTTTTCTCAATGATCATCTGCTTTTTTTTTTTTAATTGATTTTTTTTTTTTTTGACTTGGTGAAAGAATGATGTATAATTTTTGTAAAGCCAGAAACTTATGAAAGAAATGGAGTTATTCCCCCTTGCTTGGGAATTTCACTATGGATGCTCCGGTACTGAGAGGGTTAAACATACCCTGATGCAATCTCCCAACTACTGCAGCAAGCTGCAAAAATTACACTAATGGGATACATATTTCACATGGTGTTGAATACTTACATCACTTGCCCTCATTATGGCTACAATCCCGGTTGGCCAGAAGCAGCAGAGTGTAACAAATATAGCTGCACACATGTGGTCAGGTGGAGCTGGACCACCCACAATAGGATAACTACCTGGCTGTTGAGTTACCTGTTAGGTGCCAAATACATTAATTACATTTAGAAGAAAAATGTGTAAAAAAATTGTTTGGTTAAAATCTCTTAAATTGAGGGTCGATCTGTTTTGAGCCGAGTCACGATCTCTCTGAACAGGGCCTAGAGGAAGATGTTTCTCTTAGGCAGTGTTATATTAAAAAAGTAATCATGAAATTAAATTTTAATGTAAGTGCAACATATATTAATTATGTTGTTGAGTGATTAAAATCCCTATTGGATGTAGACTAACCAATCCTTTTTAATAGTATGAAGTATGAATTGTTTATTTTATGGCATTTGAATGTTATTGTAGCAGCTTTATGTGTCTTATTACGCAACAGAGAGTTAAAGGCTGACTTCAGCCGCAATGTTCAGTTTCTGGTCAGAGTAAAAGTGACACCTAAAACTTACCACAATATTGTTGGTACCAGTGTACTGGAACTGCTGTTGGGGATACTGTCCTGGTGGAGCAACACCCATATAGTTTGGTGGGGGTCCATACCCTTGTTGAGGTGGGTGCTCAAAACCTTGTTGAGGGTACCCATAGCCCGGTTGGGGTGGGCCATAGTATCCAGGGTATCCAGGTTGCTGAGTGTAGCCTGGTGGAGGGGCATACTGTTGTTGTTCTCCAGGGGGTAAGTCAGTGTAAGCAGGTGGAACTTCTGGTGAAAAATAAAATATTTAAACATTTATTTCTTCAAATAATAATAATAATAAGACGTCTTATATAGTGCGGTATTTTTTAATATTTTTTAATATAAAAATTTCATTCCATTTGGTAATATATGCCAACATAATTTTTTTTTAAATAATAATTTTCTGTCATCTTAAAGAAGTACTGTCCAACACCAAGCCTGCTGATTTTAAATGGCCCGCTACAGCCTGAAACATTTTTAGGATTATTACAGTGGTCTTATCTAGCGCGGAACCACAGGATGCTTGTAAAAAATAAAATAAAAATTAAGGGTGAAAATATTTTCTAACCCCATTAATTATTTTAGCATTTTGGGAAATTGCGTGAGAGCACAGGAGATGCTGTAACATGGAAAAAGGGTAGGTCATAAAAGCAAAGGAGTGGTATGGCTTTAAAGGTAGCAGTAATTTAAGTTGAGCTTTTCAACAGGGCAAACATTTGGGAACGTGGGTGACATAAAGTCGCCTCCTTCTTTCAGTTGGTTGTACAGGGAAGGTGTCGCGGGGTGTCGGGTATAATTACTGACGGCGTTGGAAAATAACTTTAAGTGTAGCTATATTGTCATTGCAAAAATGTCCATACCTCCACCGATGGTACAAAGTGAAATCACATAGATAGGTGAGCACAGGGACTTAACAACTTTACCTTGTGGGAGGATAATGATAATCGAGATGGGAGCTGGGGTACTAAAGGTGTCACAAATGAATCACTGCAGTGGGCAGTGTGAAACCATTTATGGAACCATGTTATTTAAACTGGTAGTCTAGCCAGGCATGGGAGAGTATGTGTCGATCCTGTATTGGGATAAAGTTGGGAACAAGTATCTGGTATTCAGAGATCTAACTGTGAGATGTTCAATGAGTAGAAATAAGGATACTGTGTTTTTTTGTAGTTAGTGCAATTCAGTCAAGGAGGAATTGTGTGAAACAGTAGAGTAGGAATGAGTCTTATAATTATTTTTTTTTATAAACAAACATAAGAATGCATGGCCAAATAAATTCTGAATGACGTTATGTTTTTTCTGATGAATTTCCACATCTATGGATATGTTGTAACAAAATGTTTACAGTTTTTTTAAGCACCTTGTATCAGTTAAACTGGATTCTCTGTAATGACAAACATCAAGTCCAAAAATGTGACACCATGACTGATTAACATTTGGGGCAGTTGCTATTGATAACTACCTCAAATTTAGAAAATTGCAAGTACATTTCAAAGCAAAATAAATCATTAAAAGAGGCTACATTTTTTTATTCACTTTGTTTATATTCTTGATACACCAATAATGCTACTGGATTATAGTATAAATCATTTTTTTAAAAACGAAAGATGACATTAACAGCCCTCGGACTTGCGAGAAAAAAGATGGTTGGCCAACGTAGTCGAAAAGGTAGGGTTAGCCCTGTCATAAAGAAAGAGTGGCCAACCTGCAGCCCAGCACACTAAATGTTGCAGTCTATGGGGTGTATCATAGATGAACTAGCTTCTTCATTCAATTTGTGATTCTTTTCCTTTTTTGTCATAAAGGAACATAATAGTATTTTAATATAAACTTGACAGTCCAATTATCTTTGTGTCTATATTTCCCATGATAATCATTATTATAATAAAAAGGATAAAAGGGATGCAACTGATGTGAAGGTAAACATAGACCATTCACAGATTAATGAGGATGACAATAAAGGTAGGGGTCATGGACGGACTGCACTTAGGTTTAGAAAAAAAAGAGGTTAATACCACAAGGTAGGGGAAATCCTAAAGAAAAAAAAAAGACAAAGCAAAATAGCAGATGGGTTGGCAGAAAAACTACTTCAGACTTTCAAAACTTTCATCTTTGCATTATTGCAGTACACACACACATACACCAATTTCCAGGTGATTTCTCCCTAAAACCTATCACTTAAGTTTCTTCAGTGAACAACCCTATTTTTGAATATTAAAAATTCTGTATATGATACAGGGGGGGGGGGGGGGGGGGGGGCAATAAGAATTTTAGAAAGGCTAAGGTGGGGCATGGCACAAAAAAGGTTGGGAAACACTGGCCTGGAGGAAGATGTTTCCCTTAGGCAGTAAGCCTGACATTGTCATATTAAAGAAGTAATCTCTTAAAATTACATTTCAATTTTAATTTAGAGAAGCGTAGGTTATTTTGCTGGGTGATTAAAATCCCTGTGCGATGTAGACTAACCAATCTTTATTAACAGTATGAGGTATTATAGACAGTCTTTATTTTGGCTTCGGCACCAAAAGTAGCAATTTGATTCCTTTCTGCCTAGTTTCGGTTTCGGCCGAAGCAGAAAAGTTAAATTTTGGTTAAATTTCGGTTTCAGTCGAAAGTGATTGAGGTTTTCGGTATCTACCAGATTGTCTGTCTGTGTTTAGCACGGCAATCGGATATTCATTATTGCAGGACGTCTTGCTGTCATCGTATGACCAATACTCTGTGAAAACTGCTCAAAGCTGCATTATGACCTCGTTGCCCAACATTTACAAAGATTAAATTCCAACTAACCCTTGGCAAATTTAAATAGTTTTGTGTACAAAAAACTAATAGATTGTTAATATTTTTTTTCAAAAATAAAATTTGAAACCCAATAATAATTAAATTCTTTCATTCGTGATATTCATTTTGATTTATCAATATCACACTCATTAATGTTGTAATAGGCAAAGGTGAATAGTATTGAATAATCCTGGGGAATAGTAATAATTCCATTATAATTTTTTTATATTTTTAAAAAATAAAAATTAGGGAAACTTAGGCTTTTTCAATTCATTCATTTCCTTGAAATTCACCATCATCATGCTCATTAACATTGTTAGTGACGAAATGATATGCGTGTGCATTTATAAAATAATTGGTTCGTAAAGTAATTATGTAGTAGGCCTAATGCATACCTGTTTACTTTTATGATTTTGGACACCAATTTACGATTTTGAGATGTCTTTTTGCGATTCTCCCCCAAGACCCGGTTAAAAAAAAAAATTTCCACCAGTGAGGGTTGGGGGAGGTTGGTCACCAAAAGAAATAATTATATCACCAGCTGGGAAAGACTAGTGTGTTGATATTAGGCTAAATACTAATACAGCGATATCTTGCCAGCTATTTATGAAAAAACCAAGCATAAGTATTATCATAATCACAAAACATTGTGGTTATATTTGTATAGCCTTAATAACTAATAATTAGGTGACAATTGGCTCTATTAGAGCCATATTTATTATTGCAGATATATGTCTAGGTAGCGTTATCATTATATTTTAAAAGCAAAGGGCACTCAAGAGTCTCTTTCGCATGAATTTTGCCCTTACCCCCCCCCCCTTAATTTTCTCTTACCATCATACTTTAAAGTACATTTTTAATTAATTTAAATTACTTTTGAATTAAAATGGTACATTTCAAGTGCCAAAGAAAGAGAGTGGGAACATTTTTATTTGAATAAAAATAGCTCAAAGCCCAATCATTTTACACAAAAATTACAGCGATATTTCCTTTCCTTTACTGTTCAGGGGCTTGAACAAAGATGGGGTTAATATCTTCTTTCAAAATATGAAAATATTTTTGTTTCCACTTAACAAAAAATGAAGTGGGAAATGGGAAAGGTGGGTGCAAATTTGTATGAGATTAATAATATTTTTAAAATCTGAAGACTGTTATAGACATAAAAGTTGGTTAAGAGATTCTTCTTAAGATATAAAAATTCCGTTTTTTCAGGCGTGCATATAAAATTTTGGTTAAATTTTTCATGAAGATACCAATATATCACATTCATTTATTCTTGAAGTTATTTATACCAGTATATAGATTTTTTTATGAAATTAAAGGACACTTTTTTTTTAATTTGTGTCAAAATTTTGTTTATAGTAGTTCACCGGCATGAAGGGGGTAGGGTATGCTTATAATGTACAGTATATAAATATTTCTCAAAACTAAATGATGTTAGAAATGTAAACATTGATAGATAGATACTTCTTTTTAAAGTAAGGAAAGTCTAATAAACTTTAAAGCCTAAATGTACATTTTAATCTTAAAACCTGATTGAGTTATAATTGAAAAAGTTTGACTGTTTGATGTTGAAACTTTGGACTAGTAAGTAGAAAGTACGAAATTATAGCAAAATGCCTAAATTATTTTGTTTATTTTTTATTGAAAGTGTGGGGGAGGAATTGGGGATGGTTCTCCCTCCCCTAAAAAGTATGTTTAAATGTCCAGTGAAATAGCTACATGATAGAAATAATAGCATAGGTGTACTTTGATTTTCATAGCTACATGATAGAAATAATAGCATAGGTGTACTTCGATTTTCAATCAATCAAAAGACAGCACAGAGAGCATCTTTTTTTTTCCCACCGGTGTTCATCTTGGTGTATCAGCAAGGATGTATTCCTTTTTTCATTTCTTTTGAACCTTGCAAGTTGAATTTTAATAAAAATGAATAGATTTTCATCTTAATTTACAGTTCTTCATTTCCTAATTAACCACATCAGTCGTCAGATTCAGTTTATGATATGAGAAATGCTCAATGAAGAAAAGGAAAGTTATTACACATATCCTTCAGGTCCAATAATTAATCTATTCACTAAATACAGTGTGGGATTCCCCTTAGTGACATCACTTCGCTTAGATTTAGAGTGAGAAAACGCTTGGCACAATTCATGCTAACCCAAAATTTACCAATTTAAGTTGATACCCATTTAGTAATTCTTTTACATTACAGCATAAACTAATAGATACTAAATAACTTGTCCTCTTTAAATTTAAAAGGACCTTAATTGACAGTACTAGTACTAATAATTAGTTGCTGGGTGGCATAGTGGTTTAAACTGAGTCAATGTCAAACTTTAACAGAGTCAATACCAAGCCCCAGCCCCAAGTGTGTAGAATGGAGTAATGGAGTTTTAATCCCTACTACTACTACCCTAGCAAAAGTATAAGCCTTGACTCAGACTCAAGACTAAAGGCTTGACTTCATTCAAGTCAATGAATGACTTAGTTTTAGTCATCTTCACATTTATAGTTTATTAGTAGAGATACTAACATTATTAGTTATTAGTTTATTATTATTATTAATATTACTACTAATACTAAGCTACTACTACTAATACTAATATTTATTAATAATACCGGAAATACCTCTGACTTTTCTTTTAAAAACTCTTTGTCTATCCCTACTAAACTATTAAACATATAATTCTCACCACCAGATTTCTCCATGATTTTAGTAACACAAAATATCTGATCTCTATCTCACTCTTCTTGTGAAATAAAATTATGTCGAGTGTGACGCAATGAAGTTATTTACAGATCCAGGCTATGTGTACAAAACATGAAAACGGAAGTAAGTACAATAACTCTGATGGTACAGTGGGATTGAAGGAAACGTCGAAAAGTACAACCTTTCCTTAAATTATACATTGTCACGTTCCATCATAATAAATAACGGAGAAAAACAATATTCTAAATTTTATTAATCAAAATGATAATTGCATTTTCAATTTTAAAAAAAAATAATAATGATGATGCGATTTATGGCCCAACCCTTATTATTTATTTATTTAATTTAAATAAATTGTATTAGCTAAAGATTGTAATATAAACATGATAATGATTCATGATCACAGCTTTAGCTAGAAATATAAAATTAATATTAGGACATTATTTACTTAGGCGCAGCCATAAATGACGTCACGCTTATAAGGGGGATTAAAAAAGGGGGGAGGGGTCACATTTTTTATGAACATGACGTCACATTTCATAAGCTCCCCCTCTTCACACATCCACACATCGTCAAAAAAAAAAAAAAAAAATTAAATTTTAAAAAAATATTTTAAAAAAACATTAAATTAAAAAAAAAAAAAAAATTATAAGGGGGATTAAAAAAGGGGGGAGGGGTCACATTTTTTAAGAACATGACGTCACATTTCAAAAGCCCCCCCTCTTCACACATCCACACATCGTCAAAAAAAAAAAAAAAAAATTAAATGTGCAAAAGATATTTTAAATCCGCTTTTCTTTTATTAAAAGTTAAAGCTGTTTGTATCATTATAAATTACAAATACATTTAAAGTATCAATTAAGGAACTATTTTAAGCATTTTATATATGTTTGAAAGTTATGAAAAAATAAACAAAATAAAAAATCATAATTAAAGAATTACACCGTAATCACATTTATCGGGAAAATCCAAGCATCAATCGTTTTAGTGCGTCTTTTGGTGCGTTGTTAATATTGCAAAATACAATTAAAATGAATTTCCTCTAAATAATCACACAAATGACTTCATAGCGCGAATAGCCTATTTCTCAAAAACTCTTAGATTTCTTTAAATTTAATAACCACGTGTGACAAAACTGATAATGTATTTTCCCTTCTTAAAAGTAAAAATTAATAAATACAATTGATTGCTTTTCAAATTGTTAATAAAACACATACACATTTTGTTTTGCATATTTTTACGTGTAAAAAGTTTTGCCTTTTTTATTCCAAAAAAATATACTGTTATTAAATGTATAACATAATAAAAACTAACCTTTAAATATAATTCTAATAAGAAAATGTGGTTTAAGTCAACGAAAGCAGCGCAACTCTATAGCTAAATAGCTTTCACTAATCAACTTATACCTCATACAATCTCTTTTTACAAATATTGATGTGTTCTTTTATGGCCAAGGCAATATTAATATGTCCCAAAATAAAGGAATTAATTTGATTAATAATCAATTAACCTTTTTGGGTCCATACATATCGGAGATAGGAAAAATGATGTGTACATTTTTACGTGGATGACAATATATTTAAATCCTATGGTATTACATTTGTGAAAAAAAGAGATGTTAAATTCTCTTTTTACAAATAAACATATGTTTACCAATTAAGAAAATCCATGGCGTTAACAAATCTTGGGTACATTTAATTTTATATAAGTATATAAATGAATATCAAAACCCAATCATTTTACACACTTTAAAAATGAAGATGGGTTAATATTTTCTTTTATTTTTTAAATGAAAATATATTTTTGTTGTTACTTTGCAAAAAGTAAAGAGGCATGTAGTTTTAATTTTATGAGATTAACCATTTAATTTTTTAAAAGGACAATCAAATCTGATATAGGCGTGAAAAACAGTTGCGAGATTCTTCTTAGATAAAATAATTATTTGTTTTACGATTTTCTGATAACGTATAATTTTTAAAAAAGGCAAAATTGTCTTTAAATTTTTGATTAAGATATCAATATATATCGAATTCCTGTAATACAAAATATATTTATATGATATATAGAGTTTTTGTTGTAAATTTAATGTAATTTTTAATTTTTTAAATTTGAGAAAAGGGGTAAATCTAAAATATTTCTCTAGCGTAGTAATTGTCCCTCAATTAACTTATTTAGTGACAAAAGTTATATAATTAGTGATTATTTAGACTGGGTAATTTAAGGTCATGTTTAGATGGGGAAAAGTAGTTTAGGAGCGTGAAAGAGTGTAGAGTACACGTATCATATATAACAGATAAACACTTCTCAAAACTTAATGATGTTAGAAACGAAAATATCATTGTATGTTAGAAGTGGCAATCGCAGTTAGTAGAACAAATTAAATATCCGATAACATCGGCATCGGGTCATTTATTCTAGTAATATTATAAAATCGTGTACCAAATAATATGTTAGCATTATTAGAAAGAAAAAAAAAGACCTATAACAATTCCTCTTGGGTCCTCTTGTTCTATAAAATAAACTATAGATTATAAACTTCAAAAGTAAGTAAGCTTTAAGAGGATTTGTTCGTGCGTGCCTAAGTCTAAGAACTTCTACCAAAACCGTGATTAGCGTGAACTGCCGTGAACTCGCCTGACCAAGGTCAGACTAACCAGTGGCCAGGTGACCCAAACGACCAATGGGACAGACTTAAACAAAGTACAAAGCCGAACAACAGAGGAGAGCGTGTACTGGTCGGTAGTGTTAACTCATAACTGTAACAGTAACAGTGTTAGGCTCTTTAAACACTAAGACAATAACTCGGCATTATCTAAGTTCTTAATTTGTAATTAAGAAGATTAAAAATGTCCCAAGCTCGTCAGAATTATGCCGAAGAATGTGAAGCTGCGATAAACAGACAAATCAACCTGGAACTTTACGCCAGCTATGTTTATTCGTCAATGGTAAGTCACCGTCCGAAGTAAAGTCTACTGACTAAAGTTAACTGAACTGTGTTACTGTACAGCAGTGTTTTCAACCTTTTTTATATTTTTATTGGAATGTAACGCTTGAGACTATGCCTATTTGGGAGCGCTTAGATTGCTTGCGGAACCCCATGCACTGCTCTGCTTAAATTTTAGATGGCTGTAGCTAATCACTAATCGGACCCGGGTATCAAAAGTGAGAGGTTGGGTTTATTGAAATATTAAACATTTTAAAATATTATTGTAGGGTTTTAAAGACAAAATTTGGTATCAAATGACAGATAATTGGACTATATGAGGTAATCTACCACTTGAGCGTCGGCCAAGAAAAATCAAGCTGTTCCGGTTGGAAGGGCTATTTAAACAACTATGCTGGGAGGTGCAGAGATTTGTGACCTTGTATTTAAGGGGGGTCCTAACTTTTTGTTAAGGTGAGGTAAAAAATAGGCAAAATTTGCGCTATGTCATTTATGGATGGTCCCTTAGACTTAGACTAAATGCTATATGATATAATAAAGGTCCTAACTTTAAAGTGTAAGTTAAGAGCATTTGCCCTGATTAGATTTCTCTTCAAATAGTTCTACAACAAGTGAAGCATGTTTAGCTTGTGTGATATTACTAGCTTTCTTGATTAGTCTATTTAATTGTTGTTCGATATCAGACGATGAATTTCCACAACAGATAATACTGAAGTTCAGTAGGCTTTCAATTGTACTGTAGTTGCAGAATAAGTTACTAACTTGTTTGTGTGCGCCGAAATTGTTCAATTTTTTAAGATAAAAAAGTCTGGTTGACTTTTTATTCAGAATTCAACAGTGTTAGCTTATCAATCGTGAAACCTAGGTACTTGTTATGACTAATATGTCTCTGCTTGCTATGTTCTGTGATTTTTATTGTGATATCTGCAATTGAATTTTTGTTTCTCCATGTGGAATTTGCCAACATTGAGACATTCAACAGAATAAAATTTTCATTGCACCAAATGGTTGGATGTTATATGGTGGTGTCAATGAAAAGCGTGTGTAATAGTATTGTCTGGTATTTTCCATCTGGTTTGATGATATTGTCTGGGATTCAAACACATTTTAAAAATAAATTTTAATTTGTTCTGTCTGATACTTAGCCTTGTCAAAAATGTAATACTCTAATAACAAAAAAAAAAAAAAAAAAACTTGTTTAAGACTTGGTCGCATCAAATTCCAAAATTTAATATAGGCCTGAGAATACATACTTAAACAAATCAAATAGCTATTCATCCATGACTTGGACTATCTGCCAGGAATTACTTAAATCTCATTTAGTGGTGTAAATTTTCTCCCTCCTACACCAACTTCGTTGCATAAAATCTCCATTACAGATAAACCTAATACAAAATTAAACATTTTGCATTTTGCTTAACATCATCTGGAAGAATATAATATAAAGGTTCATTTACATACATTTACCTACCTCCTGGAAAATTGATTATTGCAACTGTTGCATATGTTACAATTTTGCATCTAATTTTGTAAATTTTTAAAAATAATTTATTAACGTAGGCCTATTTGAAATGGAAATATTTGCACAAAGTCTGCGGGTGCTCTAAAATAATTTATTTCTTCAATTTAAACATCCCAAGTTCTGCACTTAGGATTGCAATCTGCACTTAACCAAATCCATTTTTCCTCCCCTAGGCTTTTCATTTTGACAGAGATGATGTGGCTCTTCCAGGATTCCATAAGTTCTTCAAGAAACAGTCAGATGAGGAAAGGGAACATGCAGAGAAATTGATGAAATATCAGAACATGAGAGGTGGTAGAGTCCTTCTACAGGATGTAAAGGTTGGCAAAAATTTGAGACTTTAACAAAAATGGATGCCTTAGAAATACAACTATCAATTAGAAAATTTAAATTACTTTAATCATGACCATACACCAAAAATTATCACATTGCCAAAAGGAAACCAATGAGATAGAAATAATAAAGTATTAAATATTTCATGTTACCCGGTATGTTATTCTTAAGGAATGTCATCGGCCACCTGAGCGTAAGCTGTTAAGGACCCACCGGAAATCCCTGTTCGTGAACCCTTCCCTCCCCCAAAGACATTTTCACTGTAGTGTTGAACCACCTGTCCACCCCTGTAATGTTATTATGAGAAAGTTTTAGTATATGCATATCAATAATAATTCTATTGTGGATCTTTGTCTACCCTGCTCTCATTGTGCACCGTGCAACACTCTTATTGCCTGGTCGTCTCCTCCCCCCCCCCCCGCCATGAGCTTGATCATTTACACACCAAATGTTGTGCACCGTGCAACACTCTTATTGCCTGGTCGTCTCCTCCCCCCCCCCCCCGCCATGAGCTTGATCATTTACACACCAAATGTACACTAAAGAAAAAATTAATTGCCTCAGCACTGTCAGTACACATAAATACCATTCTATAATGGCACTACTAACCCTCAATGCCCAATGAAAACAGAATCTGTACCCATCACCACCCACTTCATGAGTCAAAGTACAACTAAGCATAGGTGGATGTTTGGAGCACCATCTGGAATTATTATTGATTATGCACCTCTTCCCGTATTTTTTTACATAGGATGTGGTTGTGTTGCCCCATCTTGTAAAAAAAAATAAAAAAATCGCAGATGTTAGTGCACCATTTAAAATCATACACAGTACAAATTTCATGATTAATAAATCTAAGTCTGGTGTCAGATAAAGGGGGGGGGGGTCACTTTACAAGGACTGCAGTTATTTTTTAAGTCTTCAACTTGATTAAAACATAGTAGCATTAAATCTCTACATTGTTATTGTTGGATATTTTGTGTCTATTTCCTGAATGTTGGTGTTTGTTGCTGGGCCTGTTGTCTTCAGTGGACCCCGGGGTATAAACATTACCCCATGTGGCTTAAACGGACAATTTTTTCAATGTTCTCTTACTAATTGACTACTTTAAAAATGTTCCTAACAGAAACCAGAATTAGATGAGTGGGGAAATGGCCTGGAGGCAATGAGCTCTGCTCTGAAGCTAGAGAAAAGTGTCAACCAATCACTGCTGGATCTCCACAAAGTAGCTGAAGGCAAAAATGATGTGCAGGTAAGAGCAACTGTTACTGCTGTAAATCCACATCACATTAGACAGGGATATGGTTAATTCTTTGTACTAGGTTTCAATTTTTAAAGCATATTTAAATTTGTGTATCTAATCTGCTACATCAAAATCATGCATGTGATTACTTTCAGCTTAAGCATAAGTACCAAAATATTAGTATTTCCAAGTGTTGCATAACAAAATTATAACTCATGGGATCCTTCCAACCATGATATAACTCATGGGATCCTTCCAACCATGATATAACTCATGGGATCCTTCCAACCATGATATAACTCATGGGAACCTTCCAACCATGATATAACCTATGGGAACTTTCCAACCATGATAATATAACTGGGATCCTTCCAACCATGATATAACTCATGGGATCTTTCCAACCATGATATAACTCATGGGATCCTTCCAATCATGATATAACTCATGGGATCCTTCCGATCATGATATAACTCATAGGATCCTTCCAATCATGATATAACTCATGGATCCTTCCAACCATGATATAACCCATGGGATCTTTCCAACTATGATATAACCCATGGAATCTTTCCAGCCATGATATAACCCATGGGATCTTTCCAACCATGATATAACCCATGGGATCTTTCCAACCATGGTATAACTCATGGGAACCCTCCAACCATGATATAACCTAAGGGATCTTTCCAACCATGATATAACTCATGGGATCCTTCTAACCATCATATAACCTATGGGATCCTTTCAACCATGATATAACTCATGGGATCCTTCCAACCATGATATAACTCATGGGATCCTTCCAACCATGATATAACTCATGGGATCCTTCCGACCATAATATAACTCATGGGATCTTTCCAACCATGATATAACCCATGGGATCTTTCCAACCATGATATAACCCATGGGATCTTTCCAAACATGATATAACCCATGGGATCTTTCCAACCATGATATAACTCATGGGATCTTTCCAACCATGATATAACTCATGGGATCTTTCCAACCATGATATAACTCATGGGATCTTTCCAACCATGATATAACCCATGGGATCTTTCCAACCATGATATAACCCATGGGATCTTTCCAACCATGATATAACCTAAGGGATCTTTCCAACCATGATATAACTCATGGTATCCTTCCAATATCCTTCCAACCATCATATAACCTATCGGAACTTTCCAACCATGATATAACTCATGGGATCTTTCCAACCATGATATAACCCAAGAGAACAAAAATCAGTTGTTTAAAAAAAAACATTTTTCAACTTCTATGACCCATTTATCTGTAATTATTTGTAGAATAAATGAATTTTTTTTCTTTTCAGCTTGGTGACTTCTTGGAAGGAGAGTTCCTGAAAGAGCAAAGCGAATCTATCAAACAGATAGCCGACTATGTGAGACAACTGACTCGGGCTGGTCCTGGTCTCGGAGAGTTTCTATTCGACAAGGAGACACTACAGGAATCATCATAGTAGTACTTTCCATTCCAGGGCAGTCACGACCACTAAAGAGATATGTCCTTCGAAGATTAGCGTGTCATGGATTAAAATGTTTTTTAATCAAGAATTGTAAAGAGTCGAGCAGATTAGCATGTCATGGATTAAATGTTATATGTAAATCAAGATTCGGTAAGATTTGATGTTATGCTACTTCATGAAAGCAAAGATTAGTGTGAAAAATTTACTGTGTGACAATAGATGGCTGTTTCTGAAAGGTAAAAGTAAGGCATTTTTATGACTTCATCAGCATGTGTATTGTGCATGGCAGAACACATTAGCTTTGTCATGAGACTTACAAGTGTTGTTAATTTAAGGCACAATGTTTACCTATGATATTACCTAGACTTAGATGGGCAATAAACTGTCACTACTTAGTCTGTTCGTTCTAAGTCTTTATTTTTTTCAAAGCCTGAATATTCTTTGTAAGTATTCTTCGAAAAGACCATTGTTTCCAGTCCATTTATAAATATATATATATATATTAGTATTGTTAGCCAGCGGGACAACAGTTACTTGATGCGGTGCAGCTAAAGCTATTGCATTAAGTATCACCTAAGAATCCTCCAGCTGTTACAATATTATGTGGCAGTTTAAATAAATTTAACTGTTAAAGCAGTGTTTTTTTAAATGGGTGGTATCTGCCTCTATAGGAGTCCTTAGAGGCTAAAATACTTGTCAGATTTGAGGGGTTATGGAATTATCATGGGAGGCTGTGATAATTCTATTTGTAGAATAATAAATATTCTGATCATCTGCAATAAATAAGTTGTGGATAGACAGAGACCAGAGACAATTTTCTAGACTCGGAAGACATTTGAAAAAAAAAACGCTAAGGCCAAAATTGAATAAAGTCTGTAAGCCTGAAGTTGCTGATCAGCACAGCATGAGACAAGACACTAATATTTTAGCAGTTGTAACAAAAATAACATGCAGCTAGCTTTAAATATTAGTTAATGTTGTCCTCTCACATTGGCTGATCATACATAAAAAATACATTAATGAAATATTTAGGGTCAAATGAAAATAAATCTGGCACCGTTTTCTTGGTACAAAGGGAAACTTATCCACCCGTCTGCCAAACTAAAAATTTGGAAACATTGGCCTAGAAATCTATTTTCCCTAGAAAATTAACATGCAGCCCACCAAAATTTTTTTTTTACTAATTGGCCTCCACCCCCTAAAAAAAGGTTGCCCCGAACTGTTCTATACAGTGCAGCTACTTAAAGTGAAACCACTGTTAAATACAGTGCAGCTAGTTAAACCATGGGCTTAGAGTGCAGCTAGTTAAACCACTGTCCTATACAGCACTGCTAGTTAAACCACTGTCCTGTACAGTACAGCTGGTTATATTTTGGAATTTCATCTCAGTTTGTAGTTATTGATGGTCCTGACTTGCCATTTATTTTTGCGCTCATAATGTGCAAGAATACAGTTTAATTTAAAGAACATTTTCCGTTGCTCCTGTTCGTTTTCCTAAAAAATGTCAACCAAACTTTTTTAATTAGCCACCAATAATTTTTTCCAAGACATGGATAAATATACACCAAGGTTATTTTAAATGTTTTATTGAAATTTTATGATATATAAAAATAGGAGATAAATATCACCCAAAAATTTTAATGATGGAAAAGTTTGGTATAATACAATTGTATACAGTTGTAGGCCTGAGTATAGATAAACTTGTTCTATAATATATCATAAAGACACCACTGGTCTCATGCTAGTTAAAAGCATTTGTTGACCTGTAATGAAGCAAAGTACAAAGATTTTCTCTTCTCGTTAAAGATAATAAAAATCTTGGCCTATAAGTCACTTGAGAACCTTCGCTTGAAGACGTGTGACGTGGTTTTAGAACCTGGACCAGTTGGACTGCTGACCTCAAGCATACGTTGGAAGAGAACCTGGGAAATTAAAGTTGAGCAAATGATAATCTGACACTAAATTGTCCGATACTAATAGCAATAGGAATAAGCTTCTTTACTTTAAACACTAATTAAATGAATTAAATACTTTTAACTTTACGCCTCTGTTGGCGTCATGCACATTTTGCCCACCATTGTAACATGGGCTCTAACCCCACAACCATCTACTCAGAGAATTATCCACAACCATCTACTCAGAGAATTATCCACAAACATCTACTTAGAGAATTATCCACAAACATCTACTTAGAGAATTATCCACAACCATCTACTCAGAGAATTATCCAAAAACATCTACTTAGAGAATTATCCACAAACATCTACTTAGAGAATTATCCACAACAATCTACTCAGAGAATTATCCACAAACATCTACTTAGAGAATTATCCACAAACATCTACTTAGAGAATTATCCACAACCATCTACTCAGAGAATTATCCAAAAACATCTACTTAGAGAATTATCCACAAACATCTACTTAGAGAATTATCCACAACCATCTACTCAGAGAATTATCCAAAAACATCTACTTAGAGAATTATCAACAAACATCTACTTAGAGAATTATCCACAACCATCTACTCAGAGAATTATCCACAAACATCTACTTAGAGAATTATCCACAAACATCTACTTACAGAATTATCCACAAACATCTACTTAGAGAATTATCCACAACCATCTACTTACAGAATTATCCACAACCATCTACTCAGAGAATTATCCACAAACATCTACTTAGAGAATTATCCACAAACATCTACTTACAGAATTATCCACAACCATCTACTCAGAGAATTATCCACAAACATCTCCTCAGAGAATTATCCAAAAACATCTACTCAGAGAATTATCCACAAACATCTACTCAGAGAATTATCCACAAACATCTACTCAGAGAATTATCCACAAACATCTACTCAGAGAATTATCCACAACCATCTACTCAGAGAATTATCCAAAAACATCTACTTAGAGAATTATCCACAAACATCTACTTAGAGAATTATCCACAACCATCTACTCAGAGAATTATCCAAAAACATCTACTTAGAGAATTATTCACAAACATCTACTTAGAGAATTATCCACAACCATCTACTCAGAGAATTATCCAAAAACATCTACTTAGAGAATTATCCACAAACATCTACTTAGAGAATTATCCACAACCATCTACTCAGAGAATTATCCACAACCATCTACTCAGAGAATTATCCACAAACATCTACTCAGAGAATTATCCACAAACATCTACTCAGAGAATTATCCACAAACATCTACTCAGAGAATTATCCACAACCATCTACTCAGAGAATTATCCACAAACATCTACTTAGAGAATTATCCACGCACATCTACTCAGAGAATTACCCACAAAAATCTACTTAGAGAATTATCCACAAACATCTACTTACAGAATTATCCACAACCATCTACTCAGAGAATTATCCACAAACATCTACTCAGAGAATTATCCACAAACATCTCCTCAGAGAAGTATCCAAAAACATCTACTCAGAGAATTATCCACAAACATCTACTCAGAGAATTATCCACAAACATCTACTCAGAGAATTATCCACAAACATCTACTCAGAGAATTATCCACAACCATCTACTCAGAGAATTATCCAAAAACATCTACTTAGAGAATTATCCACAAACATCTACTTAGAGAATTATCCACAACCATCTACTCAGAGAATTATCCACAAACATCTACTTAGAGAATTATCCACAAACATCTACTTAGAGAATTATCCACAACCATCTACTCAGAGAATTATCCACAAACATCTACTTAGAGAATTATCCACAAACATCTACTTACAGAATTATCCACAACCATCTTCATCTACTCAGAGAATTATCCACAAACATCTACTTAGAGAATTATCCACAACCATCTACTTACAGAATTATCCACAACCATCTACTCAGAGAATTATCCACAAACATCTACTTAGAGAATTATCCACAAACATCTACTTACAGAATTATCCACAACCATCTACTCAGAGAATTATCCACAAACATCTACTCAGAGAATTATCCACAAACATCTCCTCAGAGAATTATCCACAACCATCTACTCAGAGAATTATCCAAAAACATCTACTTAGAGAATTATCCACAAACATCTACTTAGAGAATTATCCACAACCATCTACTCAGAGAATTATCCACAAACATCTACTTAGAGAATTATCCACAAACATCTACTTACAGAATTATCCACAACCATCTTCATCTACTCAGAGAATTATCCACAAACATCTACTTAGAGAATTATCCACAACCATCTACTTACAGAATTATCCACAACCATCTACTCAGAGAATTATCCACAAACATCTACTTAGAGAATTATCCACAAACATCTACTTACAGAATTATCCACAACCATCTACTCAGAGAATTATCCACAAACATCTACTCAGAGAATTATCCACAAACATCTCCTCAGAGAATTATCCACAACCATCTACTCGGAGAATTCTCTACTCACAGATTTATCCACTGTTTGCACTTTGGACTTCTTACTCCTGCGGTATGGTCCGCAGTCAGAAGATCCGGACGACAGCGTGAGCAGCTCCTCATCATAATCTGTTCCAAGGTCCTCGTCTTGCATGGCAAGTTCACTAACCAGGTGCTCCTCGTGGCTTCCTTCTTCTGAATGTTCATTTTTGATGCAGAGGAAAATCACACGAGGCCCTCTCTCCGGCTTTGGATTTTGAGAAAGAATTAAAAAATGCCAAATAATTGGCGTGGGCTTGCTAAACATATAAATTTTGTGTGTACATAATACTAATACATTATATATATGGATGGCAACCAACAGGGTTGTGCTATTGGGGGCGCCTAAAACTTACTTGTGTAAAATATATATGTAAATAAATATACTTTTCACAAGGGTGTGTGGAAATTCTGTCTTTTAATTCCCTTGGCATGGCCCTGGACCCAAAAGAAGAGAATAGTAATAATTGGTAGAAGAATTAATGGTTCTTAATGAAACACTAAAGCATCAGTTGGGGTGAGCTCGCCTCCATCTTAAGCAATAAACGCACACAAGATAACGGTAGGAAGAAAAATGTACCTCTGAAATGATCTTCTGTACATAATAAGGAATGATGCATGGGCCCATGTAGCGAATGTCATTAAAGTAGTTTCTGGCATAACCTATGAAATGGACCGAAGATGAACTTTTAAGAAAGAAAAAAAAAAACAGTATAAATAATTCTAAAAGAGCAAAACACGTTTGGATCATAAATATTACAGAACAAACCCCTACCTTAACGTTGATCTGACAAGTGCTGCCATTGTAACTAATATCCTGGGATATCAGAGCATCCACTCTGGTCATGAAGGACACTCGATGCATGACATGTTTTGCACGCTTTTGTTCAAATTAAAGCATGGTTAAGTTAAGATAGTGAATAATTATAACAGATTTTTGGAGGAAACACATGTAAGTGTAAGTGAGAAGCCTTAATAATGTTTTGTTATTTCACCAATCACCTTGTATTAGTATGAGGGCAGCCACTTCCGATGGTGAGACATTGATCTCTTTTGTCATGTTCCCATCAATGAGGTCCGCTTCTGCCATTCGGTTACAGACATAAGACCGTGTCAGTTGCTGGCAAGACAGAATAGTGACTCGGCTCAGTGACAATGTCAAGTGGTGAGAAATAATGCTTCCCTGTTATGTTATTCTAATGTCGATGGTGAGGTTAACTAAGTGCTGCCAGATGTGGATATTGAGGTTAACTATATTCTGCCAGATGTGGATTGAGAGGTTAACTTGGTTCTGCCAGATTGGGATTGTGAGGTTAACTTGGTTCTGCCAGATGTGGATTGTGAGGTTAACTTGATGCTGTCAGATGTGGATTGCGAGGTTAACTTGGTTCTGCCAGATGTGGATTGTGAGGTTAACTTGGTTCTGCCAGATGTGGATTGCGAGGTTAACTTGGTTCTGCCAGATGTGGATTGTGAGGTTAACTTGGTTCTGCCAGATGTGGATTGCGAGGTTAACTTGGTTCTGCCAGATGTGGATTGTGAGGTTAACTTGATGCTGTCAGATGAGGATTGTGAGGTTAACTTGATGCTGCCAGATGTGGATTGTGAGGTTAACTTGGTTCTGCCCGATGTGGATTGAGAGGTTAACTTGGTTCTGCCAGTTATGGATTGTGAGGTTAACTTGGTTCTGCCAGATGTGGATTGTGAGGTTAACTTGGTTCTGCCAGATGTGGATTGTGAGGTTAACTTGATGCTGCCAGATGTGGATTGTGAGGTTAACTTGGTTCTGCCAGATGTGGATTGTGAGGTTAACTTGGTACTGCCAGATGTGGATTGTGAGGTTAACTTGATGCTGCCAGATGTGGATTGTGAGGTTAACTTGGTTCTGCCAGATGTGGATTGTGAGGTTAACTTAGTACTGCCAGATGTGGATTGTGAGGTTAACTTAGTACTGCCAGATGTGGATTGTGAGGTTAACTTAGTACTGCCAGATGTGGATTGTGAGGTTAACTTAGTACTGCCAGATGTGGATTGTTAGGTTAACTTAGTACTGCCAGATATGGATTGTGAGGTTAACTTGATGCTGCCAGATGTGGATTGAGAGGTTAACTTAGTACTGCCAGATGTGGATTGTGAGGTTAACTTAGTACTGCCAGATGTGGATTGTGAGGTTAACTTAGTACTGCCAGATGTGGATTGTGAGGTTAACTTGATGCTGCCAGATGTGGATTGTGAGGTTAACTTAGTACTGCCAGATGTGGATTGTGAGGTTAACTTAGTACTGCCAGATGTGGATTGTGAGTTTAACTTAGTACTGCCAGATGTGGATTGTGAGGTTAACTTAGTACTGCCAGATGTGGATTGTGAGGTTAACTTGATGCTGCCAGATGCGAACAACTCATTAAATTTCATATTTTACTAACGGTAAATTCAACCCAAAAAAAAAAAATGAAAATATTCAGTTGTGGTCAAAATAATAATTAGGCTAAATAAAAGTGGAGCTGTAAGAAACCAGGGTGCATAGAATTGAACAATTGAATAAAATGAATTGGAGAAACAAAAACATTTTAAGTGCTACAGAAAAGCCCATGAAGCTGAATAACTGGAAAAGAATAGATACCAGCTGTGGCGTAGCGAGGGTGTTTGGCGCCCGGGGACAAGATTCGCGCCCGGGGACAAGATCCATTTTCAGCGCCCCTTTTTCTTTTTTTTTCAACTCTCAAACCCATTATTTTCATCAATATCAAAGCACATTTTGGCGCCCCTAACTGACTGGCGCCCGGGGACATCTGTCCCCCCTGCCCCCACCACGCTACGCCTCTGGATACCAGTCACAATAAATAAGAATCATCTCATGGGCCCAGCATTCCCTGCAGCTGCAGGAGGCCTCGGATAATTAAGGGGCACAAAGATGTGATGCGAAAAGAAACATAAAGGAATGTATTTTAAGTAGTACTAAATAGAATATAAATTACCACAACAGGCCAAAAATCTCACTCTTTTTTAAAAAATAACCAATAGCCCACTCACGTAAAATATTATTATGTCAAAACGTCACTCAACACTATAAACCAAATACTAACACCCGTCCCCTCTATTAAATAAAATACCTCTCCTCCCAACTCGTTTAACAGCATCCTGATGGCCTGTCTCATTGAAATGGTTTTCCACAGTTTCAGCTCCAAGTTTTTCATCGGCCTCCTGTTGTCAGGTTCACCCTCCATCATCTCGACCAGGTGATATTTACTTATATAAAATGTCTGGTGGGGTAAAAAGATTTTTAAAAAAAACAACAAAATTGAAACAAAATCAGGGTTGATCCCAATTCTGGCAATTTAAAAAAACAAATTCTTCCTAATCTAATATTAACATTGTTCACAGTTTTGTCTTGGGGGAAGGTTTAAAAATATACAAAAGTTCGCTCAGTTAAAAAAGTATGTTCATGTCACAGCAAAAAACTAGGTCAAAGCTTGTGCCTCCCCCCCCCCCAACAAACAAATTATTTGTTACTAGCACTTGTTAGCATTTACTTACTTATGCCCTTTACCCCACCTGGGGCATAGGCCGTCCACAAAAATTTTCCATTCATCTTGGTTCTGTGCTTTCCTTTCCAGTTGCTTCCAGGTGTATCCCACATTTTGCGTGTCTGCCTCTAGCTCGCATTAGCATTTAACATTAACTAAATATGGAAAACTCGTTTTCAAATTTTAATTTACATTATATATTGTCAAAGTTTCCGATGAAATACGAATCTAATGCATTCTCTACAAGTGTTACATTACCTCAACGTAGGTTGAGCAGCGATACGTTTTGTGACTTGGTTTGCATGTCATGATGGACTTCTCTCCTATGACACAACCTCTTGTCATAAAGTCATAAAGTTCAATCTGCTCCTTAGCACCTTTCTGACACTGTCTGAGGTAGTATGGTACTAGAGACAGAAAAATTATCTTTATTCTACAGGTGTGTCTCAACAGCTCTATCAGCTTCAAGGGCACTGGCAAACAATCTAAAAGGTGTCTCTCAGCAGCTCTATCAGCTTCAAGGGCACTGGCAAACAATCTAAAAGTTGTCTCTTAATAGCTCTATCAGCTTCAAGGACACTGGCAAACAATCTAAAAGGTGTGTCTCAACAGCTCTATCAGTTTCCAGAGCACTGGCAAACAATCTAAAAGGTATCTCTCAATAGCTCTACCAGCGTCAAGGGCTCTGGAAAACAATCTAAAAGGTGTCTCTCAACAGCTCTTTCAGCTTCCAGGGCACTGGCAAACAATCTAAAAGTTGTCTCTTAATAGCTCTACCAGATTCAAGTGCACTAGCAAGTAATCTAAAAGGTGTGTCTCAACAGCTCTATAAGCTTCAAGGGCACTGGCAAACAATCTAAAAGGTGTCTCTCAACAGCTCTTTCAGCTTCCAGGCACTGGCAAACAATCTAAAAGGTGTCTCTTAATAGCTCTACCAGACTCAAGTGCACTAGCAAACAATATAAAAGGTGTGTCTCAACAGCTCTATCAGCTTCAAGGGCACTGGCAAACAATCTAAAAGGTGTCTCTCTACAGCTCTATCAGCTTCAAGTGCACTGGCAAACAATCTAAAAGGTGTCTCTCAACAGCTCTACCAGATTCAAGTGCACTAGCAAATAATCTAAAAGGTGTGTCTCAACAGCTCTATCAGCTTCAAGGGCACTGCCAAACAATGTAAAAGGTATGATTTAACAGCTCTACCAGATTCAAGTGCACTGGCAAATAATCTAAAAGGAACCCCCAAACCAAAATAATTTTAAAATTTTGCTATTTGAACTTTAAAAACTTGGTAATAAAATTTCTTAATAAATTACAATGTATTTGTTAATTTAGTATCGTTTAGACAAAAATTTATTAATTTAATATACGGCTATCCAATGCCTGGCTACTTTTAGGTTAGTTGCATTGGTTAGTATTGCTAATGCTTCTGATGGATTTGAGAAAATGTGCATCATGGGAAGAGAAAAAAAAATGAAAAAGACCCAAAATTGATGGAAGCATTTATTTAGCCCGTCTGGTATCCTCTTTACCCTAACCCTAACCCTAACCCATCTGGTATCCTCTTTACCCTAACCATCAAATGTTTGGACACCTTACAGTGCCCCACTCTGACTTCCATTTTGCCATCCCCCACAGAGGCCTGGCAGGGATAAACATACATTGACAGGCATGAAGTCAAGAGATGTGTGACTTTTCCCTCAACTCTCACCTCTTTGGGTAAATAATTCATTTCTCTGCTGAGCCATATGGTGAGCATGATTGCAAAGGACAATATTGCCATTATTTATATTATTTGTTCAGAAATTTAACAGAATGGAAATATGAGGTATAATTAATTAACGCACGATAAACATAAAAAAAAAATTATGCAAAGATTATTGCAGGAATAAAATTCATGCCCATATTAAAAATGGTAACAACCTCACATGCCCATATTAAAAGGGGTAAAAACCTTACATGTCCATATTAAAAAAGGTAAAACTAAAACCCATACATCCCCATATTAAAAATGGTAACCCCCTTACATGCCCATACTAAAAATGATAACACCCTTACATGTGACCCATGTTATATGGGATCATTACGTGGTTCTAAAAGTACTTTGCTCTAAAAATTCTAAAAAATAATTTAATCTAACAATGTCTAAAAACTGAACAGAACAGCAGGCCAACTAAGTTTCAAAATGAAAATGGCTCCTTGATCCCTGACCATTCTTTTAACACTGACCTCTGATTTTTTCTGGGTTCGTCTCCAGCTGCTCCTCGCTGGTATCAATGAGAGCTTCAACCTTTTAGAAATAAATGCTGCATATTAACATTTAAAGTTGACTAGCAGATCAAATTTACCTTTAAGAAATGACTGTAACATACTAGTAACATAGCCCGTGTATCAACGAGACACGGAAACATTCATTAAACTGTCCAGAAATAAACACAATAATTTAAAAACACGAGGGGGCCGATTTGGTATCTCAAAACATCTAACTATACACAAAGGAGCAAACGTAGATCTGCAGTCCGTTTAAAATTTATAGCTTAAAGTTTTAATAGTAGAAAGTGATGACTTACTCGCACAAGTCCATTGAGTATAATGAAGATACCCCCTGGGTCGTGGCCTTGTGTAATGATGATGTCATTGGGACTAAACAGGATAGAATGACCATTCTCCTGGTGGGGGGAAAAAATAGAAAGATAATCATGATGTTGGTCTAGCTGTCTCTTACGCGCGGGATAGATGGATGTGTGATGTCATCGGATGAACGACTGCCAGGAAAGCAGGAGATATAATGTAGGCCTAAATAATACAGATGATATCTAAAAATGGTATGATTAAATAACAAATACACGGTTTTTTTTTTGTTGTTTTTTTTTATTTTGCCCTTGCTAGTAAATAAATAAAAATAAATTTAAATGAACAAAGGAATTGGTGTATTTAGCATGCTCTGTTATGCAAGCGGGATAATACTTTAAAATAAAAATGGCCAGAGGGGGGGGGGGTGTTGCCCACTCTGAATAATGCCTGCATTCCCGTGTAAAGGACAATGTTAGATCAGATCTGGTTTAGAAAATGGTGAAGCTTTGTTTCCTGAGTACAAGTTATCCGTCTGCTCATGATGAGTAGAAAAGTGGACATTTGGAAGACATAGAAGTTTGATTGAAATGGTTTTTTTTTAAAATAGTTTTTTGGATGAATTTATAAAGATGCCACAGTTAACCTCAATATAGTTAGCAAAGACTTCATCTCCATCAATCCATGGCAAATTTAAGATGACTTTCCGATGGTTGAGCAGGGGTAGACTGTAAGGGAAGCTCTGGGCCTCGTGCATCTTTTTTTCTATCAGCTGTGAAATATGAATGGGTTAACGGGTGGCAAAGGATTTTGTTAGCGGGTAAGGGGAATTTGTTGGCAGGTGGGGGTGGTGTTGGCAGGGGGTGGTGGTGTTGACAGGTGGAGGTGGTGTTGGCAGGTGGAGGTGGTGTTGGCAGGTGGAGGTGGTGTTGGCAGGGTGTGGTGGTGTTGGCAGGTTGGGGTGGTGTTGGCAGGTAATGTTGGCAGGTTGAGGTGGTGTAGGCAGGTTGAGGTAGTGTTGGCAGGTTGAGGTGGTGTTGGCAGGTGGAGGTGGTGTTGGCAGGGGGTGGTGGTGTTGGCAGGTGGTGTTGGCAGGTGTTGTTGGCAGGTTGAGGTGGTGTTGGCAGGTTGAGGTGGTGTTGGCAGGTTGAGGTGGTGTTGGCAAGTTGTGATGGTGGAGGCGGTGTTGGCAGGTGGGGGTGGTGTTGGCAGGTTGAGGTGCTGTTGGCAGGTGGAGGTAGTGTTGGCAGGTGGAGATGGTGTTGGCAGGTGGATGTGGTGTTGGCAGGTGGAGGTGGTGTTGGCGGGTGGTGGTGGTGTTGGCAGGTTGAGGTGGTGTTGGCAGGTGGTGTTGGCAGGTTGAGGTGGTGTTGGCAGAATGGGGTGGTGTTGGCAATTGGGGTGGTGTTGGCAGGTCGGGTGGTGTTGGCAGGTGGGGGTGGTGTTGGCAGGTGGAGGCGGTGTTGGCAGGTGGAGGTGGTGTTGGCAGGTGGAGGTGGTGTTGGCAGGTGGAGGTGGTGTTGGCAGGTCGGGTGGTGTTGGCAGGTGGGGTGGTGTTAACAGGTGGATAAGGTGTTGGCAGGCTGAGGTGGTGTTGGCAGGTGTTGATGTAGTTGGCAGGTGGAGGTGGTGTTGGTAGGTTGAGGTGGTGTTGACAGGTGGAGGTGGTGGAGGTGGTGTTGGCTGGTGGAGGTGGTGTTGGCAAGTGTAGTTGGTGTTGACAGGTGGAGGTGGTGTTGGCAGGTGGGGGTGGTGTTGGCAGGTGTTGGCACGTGGGACTGGTGTTGGCACATTTAGGTGGTGTTTGCAGGTGGGGGTGGTGTTGGCAGGTGGGGGTGGTGTTGGCACGTGGGAGTGGTGTTGGCAGGTGGGGGTGGTGTTGGCAGGTGGAGATGGTGTTGGGAGGTGGAGGTGGTGTTGGGATGTGAAATTAGCGATACATTCGGCAGATGAAATGGGCTTCACGAGGAAACTGGCTCACCTTCCGAATGATCCCGGAGTCTTGATCGCCCAACAGTCCCAGCTGTTGGATTCCCTCCAGACAGCTTTCCTGTGCATTCAGAAGAAGGCGTATGGCGGTCTTGGTCTTGAGCGCCATCATCACTCCCGGGTTGTCAACCTGACACAAGCCTGGCAACATTAGCGGGGGGGGGAGGAGGGGTGTGATTTAAATTAAAAATCATGAAGGGAAGAATAAGTAAACATTTCTTTAAAAGCCCCCAAGTTATCGAATGGCAAAAATGTCTATAAATGTGATTCGGGGGTACTTTTGTTTTGATTGGACCACTTGATGAACTGAACATAGCTGAAATCGTGGCGGTAGATTGAGCTCCCCCTCCCGCTCTTCTAATAACTAGCCCAGTAATGCATCCACCCGGATGACTTGGGATACATATAATTGGCAAGAGGTTTTATTTTTATATCGTACGAAACTGGGTCGAATTGTTTTTGTTTTTTTGTTTCCGCATATTTTTTCCGTAGCTATACAACCAGAGCAGTCGCGTAAGACCTGCAATCCGTGTGGTTGCACGGAGCTTCTAATATTGAAGGGGGCCAAAGCTGAGATGAATCGCCATGGCCGGTCCCAAGTCAAGGGTGTCATTTCAGGTTTTTTCAACAAAAAAAAAGTGTGGGGGGGGGAGGGGAGGGGGGCAAAACAAAAACTTAGTTGGCTTGTTCAGTTGTTTATTACTGGAGGCGCCACAGTACACAGCAATTTAAATAAAACAAGCAAATTCAGGGTATGGGGGGGGGGAGCAAATTCAGGTTGGTGGGGGTTAGGTTACGCGAGTTAAAGGCC